ATGAAGGAAATTATGAATACAACTAAATTGTTTTGTTTTGGTAATTTTTTTACGGCGCTCGCAACTGCATAAGGTCATATGAGCGCGCGGGACTCACCAAATATTTTCAGTTGGTAGGAAATTTTGAATTTTGCCCGGGGGGCGGCCGAAGCCTACTCTTATCGATTTTAGACCACCAAGGGATCTTTAACGTGCGCAACTTGCACACGGACCCTCCGAGATTTTTCGCCCTTGTCCGAGAAGGCTAAGTGTAGATCTTTCCTACCAGAAAATCAGGGGTGTGACAGAAAGACAGCAGTTTGGAGCTCGGAGGAGCCAATGAGCAGTAGAGAGACTGCAGAAAGAGTCAGGAGCCCAGAGGAGGGGGCAAAGGAGGTGAGGGATACAACTAAATGAAACAACAAACAAAATACAAAATGACAAAAAAACCCACCACCAACAACAAAAAACAACAAACCAAAACAAACAAATAAAAAACAACAGACAATCAGAAAACAAAATATTGTCACGTGCAAAGATATTGCCCTGTTTTTGTCGATGCATTAAGTCCATATTATATCTTTTTTCTTGCATGCACACGCGGAAAGAATTATACACTGGGGTTGCAGAGCACACAGCCTGCCCTTGCAAAGTGTCCGGATATTTATGTTACTATTACTTTTTTTTTAAAAAATGTCAGTACGCAGTAGAATCAGACACTGATCAGTTTTTGGACATAATATTATGGAGTTTTTGATGTCATCTTAAAAGCCTGTACATTTGTCTGTCTTTTGATGAAAAAATACTCTTTCATCTTGAATAGAAGTCGGAATATTTGTGATTAAAGGAGGTTGAGATAAGCCTTTTATGTAATTTAGCGTCTTAAATCAACGATATTCATTAAAATTGAAACATGAATGTGTTTTAAAAGAGCGTAAGAGATGTTGAGAAGAAAAAAACCCCCAACCTCGTTAAGGTTTGCCAAACCACCATAAAAAGGCCCGTATCTCTGGTTTCACCATGATGCCTCACAACATATGTGAGGCAGCGTGGTGGAATCAGGCTCTCGTCAATTTTGGGGCACATTGAGTTATAGGTATAATCTTAAAGCTTGTTCATTTGTCTTGCTTTCAATGAAAAAATTACCCATCCATCTTCAATAGAAGTGGAGATATTTTGGATTGAAGGAGGTGGGGGTCACCTGGTTTAAGAGGTAAATTTAGAGAGAAAATGGCCTCCAAAGCTTGGTAAATCCCAAAGCTGGAGAGTCCATGGAAACTGTAAATTTATATTTTTGTGCCTTTAATCAACGTTTCCGGTGAAATCCTCAAAGGAATGGGTCTGTAAATGGACATAAAAGGTATTGGCCAAAAAACAAAAATTTGATAAAAATTGCAAAGCAGGCAGAAAACTGTTGTTTTCTACGATTTCATTATTTTGACGAGAGCCTGGTTCCACCACGCTGCCTCACAACATATTTTTATAAGAGGACGTTGCCTTCCACTAGATGATTACAATAATTGTGACCGAAGCCTCGTCAGCTTCATGTAGTGTCCGCCCGTCACGCTTTGAATTCAGCACAAGGGCGAGAAGTCGAGACAAACGTTACTGTTACCTCGATGTAGCTGGTTGATCCACACAAGTCGCTACCTTGGAACTACAAAAGTCTACAGCTCAGGTCCTGGTTCTGAGAAATTTGATGTCAAGTACTTTGAAAGACAGATGGAAGTGGAGGTCCATGATCGCCCACGCCAGTCGGCAAGGCACCGGATGATGATGGTGACTTTGAGTTTCACAACATGCCAAGCTTTTTCGAAGGCCAATTTTTGAATTTCTTGATGACGACTACCAGTAATCGTATGGTTTTGATAGAGCAGATAGCACATAATATGGTTATGACCTCGTGGTCAAAGTAACTCAAAAATGTCAAATAGAACTCTGCTGTAAGCAGTAAAATCTGCAATAACAGCGACAAAACTAGTAGCAACAGCAACAGCAACAACAGCAAAAACAACAATAAGCTCTAACGCCAATATTAGAAATAGCAACGGTGGTTGCAACAACAACAGGGAAAGCATAGTTACCAACAAAAACAAAATCAATAAAAACAGTAACAACAACAACAACAACAACAGCGGCAACGAAAACAATGTGAACAAAGATATGTAAAAGGGAGAGAGATAGAGAAAGAAAGAAAGAGAGAGAGAGAGAGAGAGAGAGAGAGAGAGAGAGAGAGAGAGAGAGAGAAAGAGAGAAAGGGAGAAAGACAGAAACAACAACAACAACAACAACAACACAAAACACACCAAAACAGAGGAATGCACCAACGAAAATTAACAACAAAATATTTTGAAAAAAGGAAAGCTACCACATTATAAACTGTTGGACTGCAATACAACAACTGACCGCAGTGTTTGGGATCCTCATCGCTTCCATCCTTGCAATTCTCCACCCCGTCGCAGAGGCGAGAGGTCAAAGTGCATTCCCCGTTGTCACAGGCAAAGTATCCAAAGTCACAGGAGCGACGGTCTAGTTTCATGGAAAGAAAAAAAAAAGAAATATATAAATACACAGAAATATTCTATCAAATTACATATTTTTTTAAAATGGTCGTCATGAGGAAATTTTGGTTACAATGGCAAACAACCAAAAATGAAAATGAATTTTATAAGTACACATACAAATACAAAAATTAAAAATGATTATAAATACATACATGGATACATAATATGTATACATAATCACATAATATACAGAAAAATTTCACGAAAATGACATTGCTCGTCATCTGCACAGGGCGCACTGTTTTTTGGAGGTTTTTTTTTTCAATTTTGTTTTGTTTTATATTAAAGCGAGGGTTGTCATGACGTACTCAAGTGGACACCCCGAGTGACTAACCGTCTCAATTCCTTGTAGCCGATTCTTGCTTAGCATTACCTTTGAGTCTGAACTTTCTACTTACTTTGTTACTGGAGATATTGACGATAATGAAAAAAACCCAGAAATGATAAACCGTTTTGGGAATTTATGATAGGCACTGTGAAGCATGATGATAAAAGGTTTGAATGAGTGTACGTGTGTTGGTGTGTTGAGTGTGTGTGCGTGTGCGTGTGTGTGTGTGTGTGTGTGTGTGTGTGTGTGTGTGTGTGTGTGTGTGTGTGTGTGGAGAGAGGGGGAGAGAGAGAGAGAGAGAGAGAGAGAGACATAGCCAGAGACAGAGACAGAGAGACAAAGAGAGACAGAGAGAGAGACAGAGCGAAAGAGACACAGAGAGAGACAGAGAGAGAGAGAGAGAGAGAGAGAGAGAGAGACAGAGAGAGACAGAGAGAGACAGAGAGAGAATGAGGAGAAGAAAAAAACACACGAGAGAAACAGATAGACACTCAGAAATACAAAGAGTAGGACATAAGACGATCAATCCTGACCCCAAGGCCCTAAAAGAAACATTGCTTTTAAAATCCCAAAACGAAACAATTAAACATATAAAACAACTAGCTGGGCCCCCTTTCGATGAAAGGAATGATCGGTGCATTAACATCAACTGAAAGTCATTGGCCTACTATATTTACACTCTACTGGAATGGAGCAATAAATCTTGAGAGATGCAAAGAATCAGAAGGTCTAGATCTAGATCGATACTCTAAAAACTAAATGCGCCTCGCGTAATATCACTTCCGCACCGGATTTTCTAAAATTGCAGAGACAAAAGCGTCGGCCTACAAAAGCGATCG